ACACCCCTCCACAGTATCTCTGAACCCTAACCCTCCTCCCTACACCCCTCCACAGCAGTCCCAAACCCTCTCAAAGAAGCGCGCTCAGAACAAGACTAAAAGGCTTCATGGAGAAGTGGCTGATGAGAAAGAGGGAGAGGGGGACAACGCCCCCATGGACTCTGAATCAGACACACTGTTACCTACCATTCCCCACCTAGTGATGTTCCAGGGCCTATCTGCGGGGGTAGAGACAGTGAGCTCAGGTCCAGAGGTCACTGGAACCTTCACATTAGAGGGTCCGCCAGTATCACACCCTCCACACAGTCCTCTTCACTGGGGCAGAGGCCCAATCTGGCACCCCAGAGCACAGAACATCCTAGGAATCACTTACAGGGACAAATCACTAATTCTGCTTTGTCTCGAGCCTTCTGTCAAGTGCCAGGTAGCTGGGATCAGGGCTTTGCCACTCTAGCCCACTCCAACGTGCAGGGCAGAAGACCAGTAGAACCTCCTAGGGTCATACCCACCACATGTCTCTGCCCAGCTCAGCTCTGGCCAGCATTCTCCACCCTGCACAATCCCCAGAGCAAGCCCCACCTAGAGCCTCTTAGTGTCCCCCAGAAACACTCCTGTAGTCTGCACAGCCTGGCCCTCACACTCACCTCCAGCTGTGGCCTCGCTTGGCCAGGCTTTGGCTTAACATGCTCATGAGTGGAAACACATTAACTCACCCCCCCACATACACACACAGGTAAAAGTCCAATGAGGTCAGGGTGTCCTGAGGCAGAGAACGAATATGAGTGCTACATCCATATCAGGAGCAAAGGGAGTCTGCTGGTCCTGAAGAAGAGCTAACCTCACCAACAGTAGGGCCTCCCGCAACAGCCAGGAGCCAGGGTCCCCGTCAGCAGCACCCTTCCACACCCAATTAAACGAACCTTCATTAAAACAACAAGGCAACAAAATGCAACCTCACAAGAGACCTCAGCTGAGGAAGAGGATGGTCCTTGCCTGAACTCCCCACATTCGCAGTGTGAATTTATCCTCAGTGCTTGTGTAGCACCAGGGTTAGCACACACACACACACACACACACACACACACACACATGTGTATACACTCACTCTCTCACACACACAAGTACATACACACAGGCATGCATGTGTGCAGATATATACAGATAAACAGAGAGAGAGAGAGATAATAGATAGATAGATAGATAGATAGATAGATAGATAGATAGATAGATAGATATAGATAGATAGATAGATAGATAGATGGAGCTCTGATGGCTCCTTCAGACACAGAAAAGGAACAGAGAAGAGAACAAGCAAGGCTGAAGAAGGAAGGAGTCAGGGAAAAAACAAGAGGCAGACAAGAGACAGAAAAACCAGCATTAAAGAGCAAATGAAATAGAGACAAAGAGATTAAAAGATCCCAAGAGCCAGAGGGAATGGGGAAACAGTACAAAGGAGAGGGGGCTGAGTGCAAGAGAGAGGAAGGGAAAGAAAAAGGTAGAGACAGACATGCGAAGCTAGAAGCAGAGGGAGCACAAGACAGCGGAAGAGATGAAGAACTGGAACTGAGCATAGTGAGGGTCTCTGTGGCCAGGCAGGGACTGAGATCCCCTTGGGATGCTCCCTGCTGATGGCCTCCTTGGTCAGCTCCCAGTAAGGTGAGCCAGTGCTAGCCTTGTCTTTACCCAGATGTGGCTGGTCAGCTCCAAGGAGCTAGTCTGGACTAGCCCTCAAGAGGTCTCAGAGCTCAGAAGTCCCAGGAGTCCTGCCCTGGGCTAGCTTCAGGAATCCCTTACTTGCCTTCAGGCAACTGAAGACTCAGTACCATGGACAGCGTTCAGGGCAGCCAGGATCCTGCTGTCCTGCCCACCCCCTAAATAGCCATGCAGACGGGCACTCTGTCCCATCTGCCAAGTTCCCGCTCGGCTTCAGCAACTACCCATGTAGCAAAAGGCCCTTGGCCCCAGTCAGTACCAGGCCTCATTGTGCTCTGGGGACACTATGAAAAATAAGACTGTGATCTTTTCCTCAGGGGACTTGTGTCTAGAGGTAAGAGAGAGATGTAAACAGCTAGAGACACTCTACAGCAGTGCCTCTGTGCCTCCTGAACCACAGGGAGCACTGTCCCCGAGAGGCCACCTCCACCCCTTCCAGGGCTCCTTCCACATAATGTCCACCTTGAAGCAGGGGTGCTTGGTGGTGGGCATACCACGGTGGACACTGTCCCCACTGCAGAGAGTGTGTCTGTGAACATACACACATCTGCACAGGCGGTATAAGCACTCTATGCGTGCATGTGTGTGTATAAACACGTGTGAGGGCTGCACATACATGAGCACACATACGTGTGTTCACACCCACCGGATCCCACAAGTCTCCAGACAGAAGCCTATTGCCCCTTCTTTTTTGATTATGACAAACCTCTCAGAATCAGAGTCACCCATGCACACACATAAACATAACAGCTCCAACTTCATGCCTCCCACCCATTGGGGTGCTGACAGTTCAAGGACCTCGGCAGGAATGAGGCAGGAAGGTATGCTGGGCTCCCAGGAATGAAATCTGTCTTCTGGGGGCCACAGCGCAGAGAGGAGCTGGACCCGCCACTGACATCTCTGGAGTGTCAGTGCCCCAGCTCCACACACAGCTCTCAGGCAGAAAGACACAGTCAAGACCAGCCAGTAGCACGAAAAGCTGACTGAGAGGGCAGCCTTGATGGGCCAGCGGAGGTCTCAGGCCCACCACAGGCAAGTGGTGGAGGCCTCAGTCTGAGAGCTTCTAGGAAGCTGCCGGGTAGCTGTGCCAGGGGTCCTGGGGAGTAAGCCCTGATCCCAAGGGCCACAACTACCTGCACCCTCCCAATCAGCTCCCTCTATGCCCGAACAGGCAGGACACCACTGGACCCACTCTGCCCACTTCAAGAAGGCAGGCCTTGGATAGAGCACCCCTACCTCATCTAATCCTTTCCAGACCCCAGATCCCCAAAGATCAGGATGCAAGAGCTTCTGTGATGTGGCTGACCTCCCTGGCACTCACCAGCACGTACTGTGGAACAACAACACTGCAGCCCCACACCCACAGACAAATGGGTAGAGTGAGGCACACAAGCAAGCTTGGAGGGAGGAGTGTTTCACTCACACCTATAACCTCCTGGATCTTGGGGTTTGTTTGGGAAACTGCAGGTTGGTGCCTGATAAGTTCATTTGGAGAGCACACTGGTTTTTTCCAACCCCACAGAGGCCAGTCAAGGCAGACACGGCCTTCCCTAGTTGCTCTGTGTAAGGGCAGAGAATGGCCTGGATCCCCAGAGTCTGGCCCCTCCCAGAAGGCACAGCCTTGCCCCAGAGCACGCCCAGGACTGCCACACACCTACCCAGTCAGCACCACCACAAAGTCCATGACATTCCAGCCATTGCGCAGGTAGGAGCCCTTGTGGAAGACAAAGCCCAGGGCTATGATCTTGATGCCCGCCTCAAAGCAGAAGATGCCAATGAAGTAGGGCTCCGTGTCATCCTGCGGGGAAGCACAGGGCAAGAGTCATCATGGCCCTCCCCGGCACAGGGCTCTCCCTGCTACACATGCCCCAAGTCTTTCACAAAGTGGCCTCACCACCAAAGCCGGTTCCTGGGACTCCGTCCCCACTGTCCACGTGGCCAGCAGAGCCTCGGCTACATCCCTCCCCCGAGCTGTGAGCCACTGCTCAGAGAAAGCCCTACCCTGTTAGAGTCTTTGAGGTTCCTGGGAAGGTGGTGATGGGGATGGAAGCAACACTGGGGGTTACTTGGAAAGCAAGTTTTTCCTGAGTTAACTCAGGTAATCCTTTCAGCACCAGAGGTGGAAAGTGCCTTTATCCCATTATTAATGTAAGGAAACTGAGACACCCATGAGGGAGCTGGCATTCAAGCTCTGCAGTGGTCTCAGTAGAGGCTCCAAACCACCTGCATGGCCTGGGCAAACCCTTGCATCCAGCATCTGCCCACTTGTATGCCTTCTTGGTGCAAATCTGGGTGGAAGCAGAACCCAGCCCGGACAGAGCAATGACCATAGTGCCCACAGACCCAGCCAGCAGCTCAGAGTCTGCTGGCTGGTGGAGCCCAGGCATGCACAGGCTCCATGCAGACTCCCCAACACTGAGCAAAAAGTCAAGTGCTGAGTGTCACTCAGAGACGGTGGCCATGAGGATTGGAGGCCTGTGGCTGTGACCAGGAGTGGGGCCTGTGTGTGGGTTGCGAGGGAACTTAGGAGATTCTGCTTTTGAAGATCCTGTCCCATCAGGAAGTAGAGGATGGTGAGCACACCTCCCGAGGGTCCAGACCACCAGACCTGTGCCTGGCCTCTGCTGCAGCCCTGTGACACCTCACAGAGCTGGCCACAGGCTGGCAGCAGTGCAGCAGAAGCAGACACCCCATGGCCAAGCGTCTGGCCCTCCCTCCATCCTGCTGCCCGATGCTGACTCATGGCTGAGCCCCCAAGGGATGTACACATATTTCCTGGCCTCCAGACTCCAGTCTAGTCCTGCTGTGGGGTCCCATGTGAGGGGAGGGGCTGCTGATGGTGGGCTGGGCCTCAGCAATCACAAATCTGCACAGAAATTTCTAGATCAAAGGGAGAGGGCAGGCTCAGCCCCAGAGGCAGATGAGCCAGAGCCTGCGATCTCATCCAGCATGGAGCCCCAGCCTGACCAGCTGAGGCTAAACACAGCAGGAGGAGGCAGAGGTGGCTTCTGAACTTGGGGAGAAGAGTGGCAGAGCTCCTCAGAGCCAAGCAAAGAGGCTTCTATCTGCTATCACCAGCTTCAGCCCATCCCGCCCAAACACAGACACAAGCCTGCCCCCACCAAGCCCAATCCATCCCAGTGGTGGCTGTGCTCAGGACACGGCTAGGGTCAGACGAGGGCACCCGCCTTTCCAGTGTCTTTGCCTCAGTTCCCTGTCTCCAAGTGGCCTGCTCAGCCCCATCTCAGCACCACACATCAAACCCTCCCACCCTGCCAGACAGAGCCAGGGGCTAGGATGACACCACTCACTCACCCCTCACCTTCAACGCCCAACAAGCCCATGCTGGCCCTCTGTCATGGCTGTAACTCTCTAGCCCCACTTGGACCTGATTCCACTGTCCTCCCTTGACAGAGCCCTTGGAGATGTGACTACGCCCTGAGGCTGGTGTCTGAGGCTGTCCACAACCCTGTCCCCATCTCCTTCCCAGACGTGATGAACAACACCCAGGAGGGCCAGTGTGCCCACTAGTCTGCCTGCAGCTTGGACCCACATTTCCTGACCATACCACCACTGAGCCTTCAAGATTGTGTCTGAAGGATGGCTTCTCCTTGTCCCTTGGCCCTAGATGCCCCTTACTCCCCAGCCAAATGGGGCTCCTACATATCAGCCATGCCCTGGCCCCGGCCCCTATGCTGACCTATTAGTTTCATGGCTAAGACTTGCCAACACCAAATACATAACACAGGCTGTTAAGTCACTTGAGACCCAGTTTTTGATGGTGTGAACAAAGGGAAACACCCATGGAGGCCTGTCCCTCCCCCTGAAGAGGTCATCTCTTTGGGCACCTCAGGACAGATCACTCAGGGAAGCCCCTGGGCCTTCCCATCACTTAAAGGACTAAGTCAAAGAACCAGGACCAGAGAGGAGGCTGGGGCAGGGGTCATTCTGACCTGAGGCTCATTCTCCTCGTTGTCTTCCCACAGGGGACCATAAAACCTCCTGCTAATGGGGGAGGGCTCAGTCTCAACCTTACTCATACCTGGGCTCCCAGGCCTCAGCTTTGACGAGGACACCAAAAGTCTACCCGAGGAGGGGAGCTTCCCATGGAAAGGGCTCCTGAAGCAGGGCTGCATAGAGTCAAGGCCACACACCATGAGCACCAAAGGGAAGGTCCAGGGCCAGCCCACCCACACACTGGAACTCAGCCTGCACCCCCACCACCATTACAAGTGTCCCCTCAGATCTGAGGTTTGGGACTGGAGTTCTCAAATAAACGCCCAGTGTGTGAGTGCCACTCTCCCCATCAGGGGCTGAGAGGGCTACCTGTTGTCCTGACTCTCGAGAGCAGTGTCAGCCGCACTGGTTCTGTCCTTTTTCTCAACTAAAGAAGAGCTGAGTGGGCGGACAAGCGTGGGAGTGAAGGAAAGGAGAGAGCCTGCCCACACTCAGCCCGCCCAACCTACTCACTCCTGAAGGACTCACCAGTCGCTCAGACATGGGTGTCTTGTCCCCATCAGGGAGGTGTTGCTCCAAGGCCAGCACGATGCAGTTGGCGATGATAGTGGCCAAGATCATATACTCGAAGGGAGTGCGTGTGTTAAGGACTGAGTAGGAGGGGGTGGGAGGAAGGCGAGTGCACTGCAGAGCTCGGACCAGCCGCCTCCAAGGGGCTGAAAACCAGCAGTCTCAGGCCACTGCCATAGACAAAAGCCGTTCTCTTCACTTTCTGCCGGGAGGCGGCTGCAGGACCTGGCCTCTGCAGAGGCCTAGCCTGCCCCCTCGGGCTTTAAGGCGGGCTTCAGCACCGTGGACAGCGTTTACACCTCGACTTTCCAGCCTCCGCGGCCGGAGGGAGGGGGGCTGTGCGCCCCCAGCCGAAGCTGGAAGGAGGGCCAGGCGCAGGCGCACACTCTCACCTAAAGAGACACGTCTCCACACGCACCTACACAGGCACGTGAACATACATGTACCAAGTGGCAGCACTCGCACACACACACCAACACACGCGCAGCAACGGTGCACCCTGGACCCGAGGGGCACAAACACCTGCAGCCAGGAGCGGGCAAGGCTCGGCCTCACATTTGCCCAAACCCACAGACAGGAAAGAGCCCGAGGTACCCTCCAGGCATGCGGCGGCCTCTGCGACCCAAACGCCCCGGGAGCCAGGGACAGAGTCAGAGCCAGACCCAGGAGCAGAGGGGCAACGCCGGCTCCGCCCAGAGTCCACCACCGCCCCACCACCGCCACACGCACCACACACGCGCGCACTCACATAAACACACTCTCGCGCACACACTGGCGCGCAGAGGAAAGGCCTCTCAGGCGCCGCCCCGCCCTCTCCCCGTTGTCGTCTCCGCGGCGCCTCGCCCAGGTCGCACCCTCCTCTGGCCCCTGGAAAAGATGGCCACTGGGCGCCGCACGCGACCCGCCCCAGCCTCCCACACGGCCACCCCTCCCAACCCCGAGGGACGTGGACCCGGTGATCGGGTCCAAGCCATCGCCTGGCCGGCCTTAGCAGGATATGGCCACTCGGTGATGCGCTTGGCGTATTTGCGGACGATGTTGTCCTCGCTGAAGATGAAGAGCGAGCGGTTGACAGTGAAGCAGTTCTGCTTGACGGGGATGGGGTTGTACAGCGCCATGGTCCGTGCGCGCTGCGCGATCGACTGCTTGTAGAGGACCCTCTGGCCGGGCTGCAGTCCCCCCGGGCCCGGGGCGCCTGCTCCACCGGCCCCACCGCCCCGGGCCCGCTCCCCGCCACCAGCGCCCCCATAGCGGCCGCCCAGTTCGTCCCCAAAGCGGACCATGGCTCCTGGGCTCGCCAGGCGCCGCACGCATCCCCAGCCCGGCGGCCCCGCAGGGAGGGCGCAGGACCTCGCGCAAAGCGCGCGCAGCGGAAGCTCCGGACCCGCACTTGCACCTCGCCCGCTGGTCCAGCGCCGCTGCCGCCGCACCCGACTCCGCGGCCCCGCGCCACACCCTATAAGGGGCCTGTCACGTGGAGGCGCCGGCCAATCCGAGCGCGCCCTCCCCGCCCCCGCCACCCCCAGTTTGCTCCTCTCTTTGAAAAAGTAAAAGAAAAATTCTTTCTTTGGTATACAATCCCCCCGCACCCCTACCCCCGCCCCGCCCTGGGGCTGCGCCTGGTCCCTGCCCGCCCCTCAGCTCCGCGCCCCCGGCCTCCGCGCTTCCCAGCCAGCGCCCCTTGGCTCCAGGCGCCCCTGCTCTATACAACCTCTGGCCTGCGGCCCTCAGCCCCGTGCGCCCCTGCTCTGCGCAGCCCTGGTCCGCGCCTCTCCGGATCCCGGTGTCCTGATCGATGCTGGCCGGATGCTGGGCGCAGCGACCGCGCCCGGGAAGCCTGTGGGGCTGTGAGCCTTCGACAGCCTGAGCCCCTCAGCCTGCTGACGTCCATGGGCACATCCCTTGGGCTCTCCAAACTGCCCACAAGCGCCCTCCTTCTGCCTCCAGGGCAGCTCCTCCTCCCAGCTGGGGCGCCTGCAGCCGCCAAGGTGCTCCCAGGAGAGTCAGTCCTGGGTCCCCACGTTGCTTCCACGTCTCGCCCTTCCCTGCGCCACCGCGTCAGCTCCCCCTCTTCACTTTGCACCGCCAGCCTCTCCCAGGGATTGCTCCAGCCACCCTTCCCGGGCCTCAGATGTCTGTTAGAAACGTCTTGGTCACCTGCTATCTGATTTTCATGGTGGGCAGCACTATCCTGGCGTCCCCTGGTCTTTGGTCACGTTACAGACTTTGTAGTCCCCAGACACTGAGTCACCACCAGCGCCAGTTCAGACCCTTCTTCCCTCCTCCCTTCCCCCTTCCTTCCTTGCTTCCTTCTGTCAGTAAATATTTAATGAAAACCTGTCACACAGCTATTCACTTATTCACTTATTCACTCAACAAACCACACCTCCTCCCCACTCCTCCCGGTACTGGGAAACGCCATCCTGCGTCCTCACCTTTACAAAATACCTAGTAGCGTTTGTTGTTGTTGCTGCTGTTGTTGTTATGTGCCCTCGAGTTGCCTGCAACACATAGTGATCATTTGTAGAACAGCTCTGAATCCTGCCCTGTCCAGAGCCAGTCTGACTACTAGACACACCTATCCCCATTGCCCAGTTACTGTATGAATCCATCTCAACCCAGTCTTTTTCATCTGTGCTGTCCCACCACCCTTTCGAGCAGGATGTCCTTCTCTAAAGATTGGTCCCTCCACAAACCCAGAGTATGTGAGATGAAACTTCAAAATCCTAGCCGCCAAGGAGAAACTTGGTTTCACCGTCTCCAAGGGTGAAAACAGACTTACTTGTTTTCTTGGCCTTCGATGGTATGTTCAAGACTATTCTCCAGCACCACAACTCAAAGGCATTGATTCTTCTTCTGTCATCCTTGGTCATTGTCCAGCTCTCTGATGCATCGCAAGTAATTGTGAAAGCCATGACCTGAATAAGGCACGCCTTAGTCTCTAAACTGACATCTTTGCTTCTTAGTACTCTATAGAGTACTGACAGCAGATTTTCCCAGTGCAGTTCGTCTTTTGATTTCCTGACTGTGTTTTTTTTTCCTGACTGTTAACAGTGCCAAGAGTGTTGATTGTAGAGCCAAGCAAGCTGAAATTGTTAACAACCTCAATTTCTTCTCCATCCGTCATGGTGCTGCCAACTGGCCCAGTGGTGAGAATCTTTGTCTTCTTGATGTTGAGCTTCAATCCATATTGAAGTCCATATTCCTTGACCTGCAGCAAATGCCTCAGGTTCTCCTCAGTTTCATCAAGCAAGGTTATGTTATGTGTATAACATGTTGTTGTTGTTGTTGTTGTTATGTGCTGTCGATAGATTGTTAAGTCTTCCTCCAATCCTGATGCCATATTCCTCCTCATAAAGCCCTGCCTCCTGAATGATCTGTTCTGTGTATAGATTGAAAAGGTATGGAGACAGGATGATCCCTGACACACTCCGTTTTATCCTAGAACACTATGTGATGTATATGGAGCTCTGCACTGCAATCCCAAAGGCACATGGTCAAATCAACCAGCCACTCCATGGGACATGGCTGCACAATCTCCTCCCCTACAATTTGCTGCCTCTTAAAACCCACTGTAGTGTCAGCTATGGGTTGGTTTCAACTAGGAGGCAAACAACAACAACAAAATTTTTTAAAATTTTATTATCATTATTAATTTTAATGAAAATTTACAGATATTTTGGATTTCCATTTATTTATTGTTGCACTTAAAAATTTTTTTAAACATGAATACACTGAATTGCATATAAATTACATGATAGCAATGAAGTAGATGTTTTCAAATCGTTCTCTTTAATTACTACTTCATCCTAAAGAAAAAAAGTTACTGGTGTAGGTTCACAAATATTAGCTACCACTACACTAACTGATACACAGCTGTCTAAGCCCCAGGCTGCCACATGTCCTTGTAACAGAATAATCATGGTAAGTGGGTAATGATGACAGGTCTGCCCGAAGCCACTTAGAAGGGTCAAAGAGTGAATCAGTATGGAATTTTGGTGGTGGTGGTATTAAGTGGTGTTGACTCAAGTATGACCCACAGCAACCCTATGAACAATAGATCTGAACTCTGTTCTATCCTGTGTCATCTTCACAATCTCTGACACACTCAAGGCCATTGCTGTAGTCACTGTGTCAATCGATCTAGTTAAGATCTTCTCTTTCACAGATCCCACCACTCTCCCAAGCATGATGTAGGTCCCTCTCCAAGGAAAATATTCCCCTAGGAATATGCCCAAAGTATGTGAGATGACGCTTAATCATCTTTGTCTTCAAAGAGCACTCTGGCTTCACCTTCTCCAAGACATATTTGTTTCTTCTTTGACAGCCCTTGGGATACCCATTACTCTTCTCCAACATCACAGTTCAAAAGTGTCAATTCTTCTTGTCTCATCCTTATTCATTGTCCAGCTCTCAGATCCATAGCAAGTGACTGAAAAGACCATGGCCTGAATTAGGCACACCCTACTGCTCAGACTAATATAGCTCCTCGCACTCTGGCTCTTTCCTTTTCTGCTGACTGCAGAATTAAGGTTGGGCTCACTCTCGTCTTTCCAGGAGTCCTTCACCCCGTTTCTGTCTTTTCCACTTTAACTTTTGGGCAGCCTTCCTTTCACTAGTTATGCTTTCCTTTCACTGTCTAATTGCCTTAATAAACCTTTTTCACTTGTTTTGTTAAATACACACATACAAAACCCCAACAACAAACAACTAAAATCATTACTTCTCAATAGTTTGGAGAAGTCCCTAACTACAGACTTCCCTAGTGAAATATGTCTCCTGACCTCCTGCCTGCTAATACCAAGTGAGCTGACTGTGGATCCAAGTAAGATGAAGTTGTTGGCAGTTACAATCTTTTCTCCATCTATTATGATGTTGCTTATCGGTCTAGTGGCAAAAAAAAAAATGTTGTTTTCTTGACATTGAGATGCAATCCATATTGATCATTGCAATGTTTAACCTTCTGCAACAAGTGTTTCAAGTCCTCCTCACTTTCAGCAAGCAAGATTATGTCATCTGCATAGTACATATTGTTGAGCCTTCCTCCAGTCCTAATGCCACATTCTTCTTCATAGAGTTCAGTTTTTCAAATAATTTGCTTACCATACAGATTAAGCAGGTATAGATAAATGAAACAACCTTGACACACAACTTCCCTACTTTTAAACTACATAGTGTTCCCTTCCTCTGCTCTCCTCTTGATTCAGATACAGGTTTTGCACAAACACAATTAAGTGTTCCAGCATTCCTATTATTCTCAGTATTAGCCATAATTTGTTATGCTCCACACAAATACCTTTGCATAGTCAATAAAGCCAAATCGACATTCTTCTGGAAATTTTTGTTTTCAGCCAGGGTCTATCTGATATCAGTAATGACATCCCTGGTGCCATGGCCTCTTTCTAAAACCAGGTTGAATGTCTTGCAGCTCACTTTCTACGTAGCGTTCTAGTCATTTTTTAATGATCATCAGCCTTATTTTGCTTGCACGAGAACTCAGTGATGTTTGATAATTTCCACATCTGTTGGATAACTTTTCTTGGGAATGGGAATAAATATGGATCTCTTATAGTCAAGTGGCCAGGCAGCTGTCTTCCAGATTTCCTGGCATAGACTAATGAGCACATAAAGGGTTGCATCTGTGATTTGAAACTTACCAATTGGTATCCCATTAATTCCTGGGGCTTTATATTTTGCCAATGCCTTCAGTACAGTTTGAACGCCTTTCTTCCTTACCAGTGGCTCTTGATCATATGGTACTTTCTGAAATATTTCAATATCAACCAATTCTTTTTGGTATAGTGACTCTGTGTATTCCTTTCATCTTCTTTTGATACTTCCTGGATCATTCAAGATTTTGCCCATAACATCCCTGAATACTGTTGACTCAAGATTTGAATTTGTTTTTCAGTTCTTTCATTCTTGCAGCTTGAGAAATATTGGGTGAGTTCTTCCCGTTTTATTATCAAACGTTAGATATCTGCACATTCTGTTATAGTAGTTGGTTTGTTTTAGCTTTTGAAATCTTCTTTTCCACTCCCCACCCCCAGTTATGTAAGGAATCGGATCCAAATGGCACAGGAGTAGACTGCCTCCCCAATTCCAGCGAAGCAGCTGGTGGATTTGAACCATGCACCTTCAGGATTGCAGGGCAGCTACTTACCACTAGGCTACCAGAGCTCTCTCTGTTCTGCTTTTTTATTTCAGCGTTTGTCCCTTTGTTTTGACTTTTTAATGCTCTAGTGTAATTTTCTGGATCTCTTCTCCATTTTTATTTTTTCTT